GTAGTAGTAGTAGTAGTACTAGTCATGATTCCAAGGAACGCTGGTGAAGATACAGCCGCACATAGTGGAGCAATGCTAGCTGCTAGCTAAAACCCTGCAGCAAGAGCATGCAGAACTGTAGAAAAGTCGTGTACTGGCGGTGCTGAGTGTATGACGGTTTTTATGCGTACCCCCTTATGTACTATCACCACTATCAATACCGCAACAGCGACAATACTAGTGTCACTGTTCCCGCTTTTGCAACTGTTGCGATGTGTGCATTCGCTTCCGGGTTGCTGCTAGTTTCCGCGACTACAGCATACTCACAATTGCATGTTGTTAATTGTTTTTTACACGTACGTGTAAAAAAAACAATTAACAACATGCCAGCATTCGTACTGCTTCCAGTTCCACCAGCACGAAAGTCACCACCGTGTAACTGTTCCTGCTACTACTACAGCTCTAGCTACTCTTGCTGGTATCGTTAGTACCGTTTCCGACATCTTTGCTCTCATTGGCAGCCGCGGCCCTACAGACCAGGCCTGTGAGGAAAGACGTACATCCAAAACCAACTGCCGCCAGAGCTGACGTTGACAGCCTCCCAGCCCATTGCAAAACACCACTGTGGACACTGGTTTGGTTCTCCAGACCAGCGTTGTAAGTGGTTTTTTAAAATCACCGTGATGCAGCCATGCCTCTGCTGCACCCAGGCGGTCCAGCAGACGCCATACGGGCCACCGCGTGGTCAGCCAAGACCAGCGCGCAGATTGGGACCGCACCGTTGCCTCCAAAGCCAGCTGCTCACTTTGATGGCAGCCCGACTCGCTGCCACCACACGGGCAAGTCTAACCAATCAGCTCAGCGCCTCTGCCCGCTGCAAGAGCCGTTCGGCATCCCGCTCCGGTGGCTGACTGGCAAGATCCCAAACGTATGCCCATTGTGTTACCTGCAGACTTTAGGTCACGACGGCTCCGCCTTCTAGGCATTTCTGAGGTGAACTGGTAGTACCTGCGCACAGGAGATGAACATCCTGCGCGCAGCATCCGCTGATTGGCGGGCTTTCCCTCCACTCTGATAAAAATTACGGTCGCGCAATCGCAGCAAAAGTACTGGTGACCATCGTTATAGTATACTATACTGCTATTATAGTATGATAGTAAACAATTATAGTATACTATACTATTATAGTATGATAGTAAACACTTGTAGTATATTACACTACTCTAACTACTTACACGTGGCAGCGGCGCCTGTTCTTCTGCTGCCAGGCAGTGGTCCTCATGACATCCGCCAGCGCAAGAAGGGCTGAGGCCACCGCATCGGGGCAATGCGGTGCCTCATAGGACCGGACACCACGTCTTAGGGTTTAGGGTTTAGGGTTTAGGGTTTAGGGTTTAGGGGCTTTCGCACTTGCTTTCACCAAAAGTCTGTGCTGCTGCTAGTCCCCGTAGTCCCCTTATTCCCCATCGCCTTAGTCCTCTCCGGCTCGCGGTGCTACTCCTCCTCCCCCTTCTCCTGCTGCTGGAAAATGCCACCACACCACCACCATCACCACCATCACCACCACCACCACCACCGCTACGATCTCTGCGACTTCTAATTACTTCTGCTGCTGCTGCTGCTGCTGCTGCTGCTGCTGCTGCTGCTGCTGCTGCTGCTGCTGGGCGCTGCTGCTTTTGTGCTTCTGCTGCTGCTGCTACTCCTGCTACCGCTAGCAATGGTGATGTACTTGCTTTCGCTATCCCTACTAAATCACTACTAGTGCTATGTTGTTGTCACTGCTATCACTGACCATGCAGCTCGAAATCGTGGGCAGCGAGTTTCAAGAGAGCCGTAGAAAGTAAATTGTGTGCAAATGGGGGACCCAACTCTCTACGAACATGCCTCAAGTCTCCACTGCTTGGCCCGTACTCATTCCAGGCTCTCATGGCTGCACTGGCCTCCAGGAGTAGCGCTGCACAGCGCTCTGCAGAGACCTCGTTTTCCACTTCGTTATCTGTGACCCGGCCACAGTAGGGCTAGGGCCTACAGCTTCAACAGGGCAGTGCCTTCTTCAACCTCTGGGCAACAAGAGAATCTGCTGGCGAATACCGAGTCAACCGGCGGAACTGACGTTGGCAATTTCAAAGTTAATTGCTTATCCTACCGACAAGCCCGAAATATGAAGTTGTGGAGCTTGGCATTTTGCTTTTTGCTGACGCCGCTGCCATTGGCACGGCCGTGGCACATCCCTGTTCAGGAGCGACAGAGCCTCCGACCATGATGGCATTGTCGAAAGAGTCAATGAACGGGGCAAGCTGCCCCTCCGTGGTGCAGATCTCCTGACCTGGGTGCAGTAATGCAGAAGCGCTGGCGGTTCAGGACAGCAGTTGCCTGAGAAAGTACCATCAACACTGTTTCGCATTGTGCCGAAAGGCTATCACGACAGACGCACGTTTACGGTGGTAGCCACGACACCTGCAGGACCAACCGCTTCATCATGAAAAGCAAACCGGGCTGGGTGCCGTCATCGCGCAGCTTCTCCGACACCTCAATAACCAGGCGAAGTTTCAAATCCCAGCAAGCCAATCCGCGCAAACCAGGAGCACGCCAGCAATAGATGTCACCATAAAGAGGACTGAGACTCCAACTGCTTGACTACCGGCATTTGGATAACTTCGGGGGTCGATGGGCCACCATGTGCAGCATGGCCCACTTGTCAATGAGAGCTCAGATTTCACAAGCAACAGCCATTCCTCGCACAAAATGATACCTTTAAGCCAACCTCTTCTCTCGGCTGGGCGAATGGTTCTCACAGTGTTCAGCAGCGAAAAATATCATACCGAAGCCTGCACAGCAACGACTTGAATGAGAAACAGCTGGGGTCCCAACAGCTGCCAAGATGCTGAAGAGTGGCCAACCAGACTCATGCACCTCCTGGCAACCGGCGGCGCACAACTGCAAGACTGCAGGGTACTAGCCACGCTGTTCTGCGTGCATGTTCTAGCAGAAACCCTAAACCCTCAACCCCAATAACTCCAAGACTGCTGTGGTTTTCGGCGAGATCAGAGACTCAGCCCTTTACGCGGCCGGGGCTCCAGCGGCCCAGGAGACGTTCAAGTCCCAGAACCAGTCCAGGGTCTCCTTGCCGTCAAGGCAGAGGCTTAAGCGCGTTTGGGGCTGGGAGCGCGCTGGATGGTGATCAGCTTTCAATCTCGGAGGGTGGTGCGTACTAGATTGCAGCAAGCATGCCGCCGGATCGACTAGAAGACCACTACTAGGGAAACCTCCATCTATGGTTTCGAGAATTTTCCGAAATTCGAAGGCATTGTCTATACCTGACTTCCAACTTGCATCTTACATGAACACACGTTCGCAAACCTTTCATTGGCTGAGCAAGACTGATAAGAAGCACTCATACGATGCCTACCAGGTCGATGCTCTCCTGCTCTCCTGTCAAAACATGCCCAAGATGTTCGCTGCTGAAGTTTGCACCGAATTGGGTATACATCTGCATGCAACCCGCCGCACCCCCGCCACCGACAAGAGAGAGTTTCGTTACGGTATGCCTTGAAGAACATCTCTCAGCTTGGGCACTGGTGTATGGATTGCGTACAGGTACAAATAGATATACATAACAACACGTGTATGCATTACATGAACGTATAGATGCACGTGCACAAGAGTGCGCTCCGATTCGTATTTGTACTCATCTTCGTGTTTATCTGTATGCACCCTCCTGCATCACTTCGCTCAGAATGTCCCCACGCCGGCCCTTGGCCCTGGCGATATCAGCGAGGTCCGCAGGGTCCACCGAGAGCCAAAGGAAAAACCTCGCGGCCGCGCGTCGAATAGCAGCAGTTTCCGCAAACCTAGTCGGCGTAGCACGAGCAGCTGCAGCTGCAGCAGCAGTACAGCAGCAGTAGCAGTAGCAGTAGCAGTAGCAGTAAGTAGCAGTAGCAGTAGCAGTAGCAGTAGCAGTGGCGGTGGCGGTGGCGGTGGC